AAAGCCAGACTTTTGCTCTCTGCAGTCTTGTCCAGTTGGTTTTGTGGGCAAGAGCCTGCTGTTTTCCACAGGCAGCGCCTTTTAGCCTGGTCCTAAATGGATGGACTCAAGGCAGCCAGGTGTCCCATAGCACCTCCAGACATCTCCCAAGAGGATGGAATGTTTTGCTTCAAATTGGCATCTCGGACCAAGCAACGGTTTGTTGTGGCACCAAAAAGTCAAAGTGCCTGTTGTTGAAAGAACACTCTGCTCCCAGCTCCAAGATCCCTTAATACCACCTGGTGCCCTGGCCAGCAGAGCCTGGAGCTGTGAGCCGCTTTCCTTCTGCAGGCTGCTCAGAGGAAGGAGTTGGCAAGGAAGGAGCCCTGGTCCCCATGGGGAGATTTTGCAATGGCAGAGACGGATTTGCAGTTAGCTCCGGCTTGTGCTGGGACTGTAATTGATACCAGATGATGTGTGTGCGCGCCCACTCTCACCAGGTCTGGAAAATCTCAGCTGTGCAGATGGAAATTCAATCCACCTCTGCTCTGATGGGGGAAGAGGAAAAGGTGCTCCGTGTTCCCCTCCTGCCTGCAGCATCACCCGCCCCCCAAGTCACACTCTTGGAGACCCCTTTCCCATCCCCAAAGGGCTGCCATTTGCATCCCTGCCCACGGCAGATGGCCTGGATTCCTATGCCTGCATGAGGGATGGTAAACTGAGTGACTTCCTGCTCATTAGGGTCTGGTGCTATTCCAGATTTTGAAGGGCTTGCCTGGGGGGGGGCAGGGGGAGGACTATGGTTGTCTAATAGCCTGGAAAACGGATCAGGATTGGTCTCGGCTGCACACTCTCTCCCCCTCCCTGCCATGGCTTCCCTTGAACTCTCACTGCTGCGATATTGGGCGCAAGAGGACAAATGTGGGAAAGCTGGCTGTGCTGCAGCCCAAGAGCTGCCACTGTGCCTTCACTTTTGGATACCTGATTTATGTCCCTCCCGCTGGAAATAACTCCCTCCTAAGCTGCAGCTCTCCAAACAAAGAGCCACAGCGAGAGGGACTGTTTTGACCAAATTTGGAGAAAACTTTCCTTGAGTCGTTGAGCAATATCAGCCTGTTGCCTCTGCCGGCCCCCCTCTTCTGCCACCAGGGAAACTCTGCTGCTCCTACAGCAGCAGCAGGACACCGCCCTGTCCTGGGGGAGATCCTCAAAGATGGAAGCTCAGTGAGGGACAGTTGTGGCACTCAATTCCCCTTTGGGTGCTTAGTAAACGGGGCAGAGCCCTTGCTAGAGAGACCTGCCTACTGGGGGAGCACCCAACCGCTGGTGTCTCCCCCTTTGTGCAAGGCTGAGACAGGGTGCCTCTGTTTCCCTGGGAGGGCTCTGTTGCTTTGTGGGCAGCGGGCTTCAGGACCCTGAGAAGCCCCCGTTTCTGTGTTGTGCCTTCTGCAAAATGCCTTGCAGCCTGTCCTGTTCTTTCCCCTTGTCCTGAAAGGCCACTTCCCACAATGCCTCTTGCTTCTTGGGTGGCCATACGCAAGTCCTGCAGGAATTCTGAACCCTGGAGCTCAGCTGACCTTCAGGGGTTTCCGAAGCAAAGTTGTCCAGATGATACAAGCCGGAGTGTGGGCCTTGGTTGCGCAGATCGCCTTGGGGTAGCACTGGCAACCCTCTTAGGTGAGCAAGAGGAGACAGACGGGGCTCTTCTAAAATCAGAAAGGAAGGTAGATCGGTGGTGTTGCCTGGGCTGGGCTTAATGTTGCCTTGGCAGTTACAGAGAGAGAGTTTCAGCTGGCAAAGGGACTGGCCTCCTCTGGCACAGAATTGCTCCTCCTGTATCCCGTATCCAGGAAGTCAATTCTCTTCCTCCTCCCCATTCTTTGAAAATTGTGGCTGGCTTTGGGGCAAGGCCCCAGGGCAAGAAGCTTCCTAAAGCAGCATGTCAGAATTTGTGCTCTTTGGCTTTTATGTATGGCCAGGAGTGCATTTGTTTGAAAAAGAAAAGTTACTGTTTTTCATTTTTCATTTTCAGACAGATACCATAAAGACAGAAAGATAACCAATAACAGAAAAGCATACAAATCTCCCTGCAAAGGGGGTGGGGGTGGGGCTTGGATAAAGAGATATAAATGCATAGGTCTGATAATTTCTCTAAAGGAAAGTTAGTGCAAAATCATATGCTATAAAAAAGCTATTTTGCATTAATTAATACATCTAATAAAAACACTTTAGTAAGCTTGTCTGATTTTGAGAGGCCTTTTAGTACCCAGAGCTTTTGCATTAATTAATTTCTCAATCATTGCTGCTAGAGGCCCTTAATTACAATACCAATAATACTCCAGCGATGATAATACACCCCTTTTGGTCTTCCCTGAGCTTTGCCAGAGCCAGGCGGCTGCCATCAGAAGACAGTTCATGAAAGCTTTGCTCAGATTTTGGTTTGTGAAGAGGTTCACGTGAGTCAATGGCAGGGTCCTGTTTGTGGGGAGGTGTGTAATTTTTCACCAAAAACCAGGGGGGAGCTCAGGCAAAAACCAGGTTCCAAAACGGCCGAGGCTGTGGGTAGAACCACCACCTAAAGCAGTAATTGCCAGGTTCTGTGCAGTCCTTCCGACATAAAGGCGTTAGGGCAAATTTGAGACAACCTCCCAGGAGTCATGTCCCATCTATGCACAAAAGCTTCAGCGTGGCTTCTCTGACCTGGGTTGATACATGCCAGGTATTATTGCAGGAAGGGAATAGTCACCCAGCTTGCCGTGATCAAAGCCTTGCATTGTTCTCTTGCCCTGTTCTGGGCTGTCTCCGCTCTAAGAAGGGAAGCATTTTACTTCTAAGGACATGTGCAGAATCTCTGGCTGCAACCTGCTTTTCCCACCAGTGGTCTAGCCATGTCATGAAGAGCTTCACCTGGTGAATTTCTGCATGTCAGGCGGCCGTTAAGAGGCGCAGCTCATAGAACCAATTTTTTTGTAAACAGCTTTGAGGTTTTTCTACAATCAAGCGGCAGAAGCGGTCTTGAGAAATTTGATAGCCCAAAGTTCTCCACTGCAAGCAGTATATAATTTTTTTACAAAACAAATAGAATAAAACTGAAAGCAGAAGTTGAGGATCCAAGATTGCAGTCTGCTTTTACTGGAGAGCAAGTCCTGCTGCATTCATGAGCGTGCAGCATTGGATTGGGCCAGATGTGGTCAAGTAACCCTTTTCCCGAAGATAATACTTGCTGGCCTCTGTACAAGAATGATAGACTGTCACTACAGAGAATCATCTGTTGCGAGTACTAACACAATCATGCGTATTTTACTCAAAAAGTAAACCCCAGCAGCAAGAATACTCATTGCGAAGTATTGGAAGACACAAGATTTACCCACCCGGGAAGAATGGCAGATGAAGTTGATGGACTATATGGAACTGGCGGAAATGACTGGCAGAATCTGAGACCAGGGAGAAGAGTCGGTGGAAGAAGACTGGAAAAAGTTTAAAGACTATTTACAGAAATACTGTAAAATTAATGAATGTTAGAAGAATGTTGGAATGAAGTTATATGGCTTTAGTAGAAATGTTATAAGGAATTAAGTATAAATAGATTAATAGAATATTAAAGGAAAAAAATAAGGTTAGAACGTGTTAAGATAATTATAGGATAGAAAACAGAGGAAGATGGAAAGGAATTGCTGAAAAAATTAACAGAAGTGGAATACAAAAAGGGAGGTGTGAGGAGGTCGTGGAAATAAGTGAATGAAAGATAAGATATTGAAATTGTTTGATGTGTTTTAAACTGTTTTTGTTTTGTTTTGATAGTTTAATGTGTTAGTGTTATGTAGTGTCTGTATTGTATTGTATTGTTCTTTTTTTGTAGTGTTTAAATTGTTGGAAAAGTAATAAATATAATAATTAAAAAAAAAGGAAACACCGCTGTGTTGGTGAGGCTTACTCTCACATAGGATTGCAGTGCCCCCCCACTCCACCAACCATTGTGTGCCCTGCCCTCTACCCCGTCCCACAGCCCGAAGGGAGCTCAGGCAGGGACTCCCATTTCAAAGCAGCATTGCAGGGGGGCGGTGAGATTTGCCTCCTCCTCCTCCTCCTCCCCTTTGTCTTTGGTTTGTTTCGAAAGGATTGAAATGTTGGAATTTCCTGGAGGCCAGGACTATGGCTCACCCTCCTCTGGTTCCAGGCCAGCTAGTCCAGGCACGCGGCAGGGGCTCCAGTCTGGAGAGCAGCAGATGCCTGCCTTCCAAAGGTTCCTTGACCTCTTTGCTAGCACAGGGAACAAGCAGGAAGGGGCTGCAGGTTGCGGGGCTGGGGGCTGCAGTGATTCCTCGGAAGGGGACTTTGCTCCTCTTCGCCAGGAGGGTTAGCAGAGCCCCCCCCCCACTGCAAAAAGCTGGAGAGGCAACCTCGGTCCTCCTAAGCGCCTGATCTGCAGCGTATCAACCCAGGGCTCCTGGAAGGTTTGCTGCTTCCAGAAAGGGGCAGCTATAAGCGGGCCCTAAATTACAGATTTTGGGGTGTGTGTGTGTGTGTGTGTGTGTGAGAGAGAGAGAGAGAGAGAGAGAGAGAGAGAGGGAGGGAGGGAGGGAGGGAGGGAGGGAGAGGTGACTGGATCTGTGAAGCCAGAGTGGGACTTGGCACTCTCCTTTGCTACAGGGTTGAGTGGCTTCCCCATCCCTCCCCACCAGCTGAACACATGCTCAGGAACAGCCTTGGCTCAGCTTTCTGTCACTGCCAACTGGGACTTAACCCTTGTCAGGGTTAGGAGCTGCTGAGGGAGGTGTGTGGAGCTGCACTGGAAATTTGGGTGCATGCAATTCAGTACTTTTGGAATTGTCCTTTCTACCAGCACCCCAAAGCAACAAGGGGTTGGAAGAAACGAGTTGAGTCTCTCTCAGTCTTGCCTGCAAGCGTTTGGGTGACCTTGCTAGTCTGCCAGCCAGCAAGGCAGCAGTCCTCTCCTACCCCCCCCCTCTTTTCTGCCTGGGCAAGGAGGCTAACAGCCGCTCTCTTCCCTCTTCTCCCAGGACCCTTGTGCAGAGTCCCAGCCTGCAGCAGGATGACTGAAGGCTTTGACTGCGCCAGCTGCAAGGAGTCCCTCTATGGGCGCAAATACATCCAGGTGGACGAGGGGCCCTTCTGCATCCCCTGCTATGATACCCACTTTGCCAACACCTGTGACGAGTGCAAGGAGCCCATCGGGCACGACTGCAGGGTAAGGGGGCAAGGTGGGGGGAGGCCTCTGCTCAACTGACCCTGGGGGGCGGTGGCTGCTCCTTGTCTTACTGGTGCCTTTGGCCCAGGCATGAGCTGGGATCCTCCAAGCACAGGGGACTTTTGCAGCGCCCCTCCTGCATGTCAGGCACCTTTAGAAGTAACAACCAGTCCCATTGATGAAGCTGATCTTCCTCCCCTTTCCAAGCATGTGCTAAATGGATCCAGCAGGCAGCACCCCTAAGGGGAATGGGGGGGGTCCCCTCTTGGTAGGTCCTTCTGGCAACTAAAGCAAGTTCTCTAGCTCATGAGTAAGGGGCGGGGAGGTGTCTGTGCAGCCTCCTGAAAGGGACCAGCTGTGATACAAGGAAAGGACAGGCTAGGAAAGGAGGACCTTTTGCTCAGTGGATAATGGGATGACCTCCCACCCCCCACCCCTGCTTGCTAGCCAGCAAGGTGAGCTGAACAAGACCTCCGTGGGGAAGGGAAATGGCTCTCTTTGACTGCCAGGCAGCATGGGAAAGGGGGGCCACTGCCTCTGCCCTGCTTAGGGCTTCCCATTGGGGCATCTTGAGAAGAGGCTGCTGGGGCAGGTAGACCCACTTTGGCCTGACTGCACCCCCAAAATGGGAGGAAATGGGCCCACGCTTAGGGCTGCTTCTGTATTTGCTCACCGGTGACCTTTGGGGAATCAAAGAATCATAGAATTGGGAGGGACCCCAGGGCCCATCTAGTCCAGCCCCCTGTGATGCAGCAGCGCTTTGCTTCTTGGCCCCCTAGAGCCTCTTCCACAGAAAGATAGGTAAGAGAGGGCTCCGAATTCCTCCTCCTCAAAGGTGTGCGTTTGCCTCTTCCCTCCACCCCATGAGTATAGCATAAGGGCATTGTTTTCTCAGACAAGCCCCCTCCCGCTGCCTCTCACTGCGATTGCCCCCTGACCTCTCCTCTCCTCCGTTCCAACTCCAGGAGCTCTACTACGAGGACCGGCATTACCACGAGGGCTGCTTCCGCTGCTTCCGGTGCGACCGCTCCCTAGCCGACGAGCCCTTTCACCTGCCAGGGCCAGGAGCTGCTCTGCAACGACTGCTATTGCCGGGAGTTCTCCTCCCAGTGTGTGGCCTGCCAGCAGGTGGTCATGCCAGGTGGGCTGCTTTGCCCCTCCCCCCCATGGCCACGAGGGAGGGGGGCAAGGGGAGCCACCTCTGTAGCCAGGGTCACCACGGCTAGCATGGGTTCCCTAGAATCATAGTGCTGTTGATTTGGGGGTACCCCAGAGGTCATCCATTCCAACCCCCTGCAATTCCCCACCACAGGCTCCCGGAAGCTGGAGTACAACGGCCAGACGTGGCACGAGCACTGCTTCCTCTGCAGCGGCTGCCAGCAGCCCATCGGGGCTCGCTCCTTCATCCCTGAGCAGAAGGACTACTACTGCGTCCCGTGCTACGAGAGCAAGTTTGCCCCCCGCTGCACCCACTGCAAGAAGGTGGGGCCCCGCCTGCTTTTTTAACTGGTGTGCGGGGGGAGGGGGACAGCTGGGCAGGGGGCATCTCAGACCCTGCAGGCTTGGGTTGGGTGGGTGGACAGGGGGCTCTGTGCATATTACTCCTGTTCTTTCGCCTGTGCAGTCAGAGGCAGCAATGCTTCTGGATATCAGTAGCTGGAAGAGAGAGTGCTGCTCTCAGGCTCGAATTCTGCTTGCCGGTTTCCCATTGGAGCAGGGGTAGATCTACTATGAAACTAATTAAGCTGAAGCTTCACGGCCCCTAAACCCAGAGGGACCCCAGAAGCAATTTAGTCCACGTTGCTTAACAATTTTGGGTCTAGTAGACCCAACTGGAGTGGCACAATGCAAATTGGGGTGAGCTCCCATTGCTTGGTCCCTGCTCCTGCCAATATAGCAGTTCGAAAGAACATCAAAGTGCAAGTAGATAAATAGGTACTGCTCAGGCAGGAAGATAAACGGCGTTTCCGTGTGCTGCTCTGGTTCGCCAGAAGCAGCTTAGTCATGCTGGCCACATGACCCGGAAGCAGTCTGCGGACAAAAGCCGGCTCCCTCGGCCAAGAAAGCGAGATGAGTGCCACAACCCCAGAATCGGTCATGACAGGACCTAATGGTCAGGGGTCCCTTTACCTTTACCTATATTTCAACAATCCCAAAGTTTGACAATCAGCAGCACAGACATTGTAAAGGTGTTGGGACAACCCTATTGAAGAAGCTAACAGTTGTGACCCAAACTTCATTACTGGTTGCACAGGAGCCCCCATGACAGTTCCAGCTTCAAAATGTAGTTGTTGTTTTCCTGCCATTGCACTGGAGGCATCCGACTAGCGAGTGTGAGGGCAAGATGCTGGACTGGAGGGGCAACCCTTGGCCCGATCCAGCACCCAGACTCTTCTTCTGTTCTCCTGCTCAGTCGCTGACCAAGGGAGGCGTGACCTACCGGGACGAGCCCTGGCACAAGGAGTGCTTCGTCTGCACGAGCTGCCAGACCCCCCTGGCCGGGCAGCAGTTCACCTCTCAGGAAGACCAGCCCTACTGTGTCAAGTGCTTTGGGAGCCTCTACGCCAAGAAGTGCAGTGCCTGCACCAAGCCCATCACAGGTGAGATCGGGAGGTGGGCGGAGACACGGAGGCCTTTTGCGGTCCCTGAGGATGGGGGCCAGGGAGGGGTGCCCTGTTGCAAGTCCCAGCCGTGCCCACATCCCACTCTCCATCCTCCTCTCTTTCTCCCCCCAGGCTTTGGAGGGGGCAAATACGTCTCCTTTGAGGACCGCCACTGGCACCACAACTGCTTCAGCTGCTCCCGCTGTGCCGCCTCCCTCGTGGGCAAGGGCTTCATCCCGGAGAACGAGGAGATCCTCTGCCGCGACTGCGCTAGCGACCTCTGAGGCCGGGCCTGGTGCCGGTTGTCCTCCAGGCTTCCTGCATCCTGAAGCAGCAGCAACAGTGGGGCAGAGAGGATTCTCCCTCCCTGCTTCCCTTTCCCTGCCTCTCTGTGGCTGGGCCTCGGGGGCTGGATCCACATGCCCCCATAACTTTGTCCCCAGAGGTTGTGTTGCGAAGTGGGAGACCGCTCCCTCCCTCTGTCCCCTGCTATTGCAGCCCAGCAAAGCCTGTCTATGCAAGGTGATCCCAGCGTGGGATGCAGGGGGGATGTATGTCTGAACTGGTTGCAGCCTCTCCAACCTCCCACCAACCCCTGCCCTGAGCCTCCAGTTTCTGGGCCTAGCAGCGCCAAGCTCTCCCCCCCTGCCAAGAGTCCCCCCTTCTCCCTGCAGGAGGTGGAAGCAGAGGCTGGAGGGCGGGCACCGCCCCACCCACCTCTTATGAGCCTCTGAGGGAGGGTGCTGCTCCTCCCTGCCCCCCAGGGGTCCTGCCCCCCATCTTTCTCCCCCCAAGTGTTGTCTGCAGTGGTAGGCGGGGAGGGTGAGTGGACCCAGGAGCAAACTTGTCAAAACAGGCAAGGCTCCAGCAGTGGGTCTCCCTTGCAGGGTGGGCGCTGAGGGTGCTCACGACCCTTTGGGTGGGCCTTGGCACTCTCTCCACCCACAGTGACTTTGTGGCCTGCTCAGCGCCAGCTGCTCTGCCTAGCAGGATCTCCAGAACGATACCAAAGTGACCCCCCATCTTCTCCAGCTGCAGGAAGCCACTTCCGGCCCCTATTCTCTATATCCTAAACTTTCTTCCTGGCTCCTTCTCTCTCCCCTCTTCCAGGGAATATTTTGTCCCCATCCTGTTCATGTACTGTGTAGCCAGTTCCTTGGATATTTTGCAGTGGGGGAGTCAGTGTGTGTGTGTGTGTGTTTTTCTCTCTCTGCCTGTCGGAGGTGGTGGTGGTGGTGGGGACTCCTCCTAGCCTTGCCCATATCTGGCCAGTGTCCGCCCCCCCCGCCCCCGCTTTCTGGCTTTATATAATAAACCATGTTACTGGACCATGGGTGTCGTTCTTAGCAACTTGTGGGAGGGAGGGGGGGGGAAATATTGCATTTGTCCCATCAGGAATTTGCACTTGATTTTCTCAATGATTTTCTCACATTGGGGGGGAGGGGAGGCGGCAGGGCAATGGGTGCCTGTCTCTCCTCCCCCCACCTCACCTCCCATTTGTGGCTTTCAGAGCAGGCTGAGAACATGCAAAACTTTGCCCTGTGGCTGCTTGGAAGGAAAATTGGATAATTCCACCCCTTCTGTGTTTGTCAGAAGGACGGTCACACACACATTTTGGGATCCAAATCTGTCTGCATACAGCCTTCTTTGCAGCAGGGTGGGGGCTCCGTGGACTCTTGTAAACAGAAGACAAAATATTCTTGAAATTGCAACCCTGTCCCGCTCCCTGGACTTGCTGGGACATGGACCCAGGGCAGCTGATCTCTGCGCTGATGCAGTGGAACCGCTCCCGCTCTTGGAAACTTGGGCAATGAACTGTTGCGCATCTCTGGAAGAGTCTTTTTTCTTCTGAAAGCAGCTTCCCCCATCCAGCTCTGAGCGCAGGGGGGTGTGTGTGCTCAGCCCTCCCCCTCCCCCACAGATCCAGCTACCAGGCTTTTGTTACCTCTGGGCCCCTGGGATCCCCCTCGGCCTGGCGTTCCTCTCCAAAAAAGGAAATGGCCCAGCTGCCTGTGGCCGGCAACATCTGGATCCCATCCCAACATGAATGGGTCACGACTTGCTTTGCCTGCCTGATTTATTTGTGGGGAGGGAGTGGGAGGGTGGTGAGGTAATGGGGCAAGGCTGGAAGGCGACGGTGGGGGTGGAAATGGCCTTGGATGCAGGAGGCTCCTCTGGCTGGGGAACCACAGGGAGGGAAACTGCTGGGCTGGGTGACATGGGGGGGCGCGCGTTGTGGCTCAGGCAGGGAAGGAGGGTTTGCAAGGAGGTCTGTGAGGCCTGAGACCTTTGCTTTGCTCTTAGATGTGCCTCTCCCCCACCCCACCCATTCATTTTTAGGAGTTGCAGCGCACTCCTCAATGCTGACTTCGACATTTCCTTCCCTGGAACCCCGGTGTGGGCCACTGAAGGGTTTAAGTTGCAAAGCAAAAGTGCATGCTCAGCAGTTCTTAAAGCCTTGGGAAAAGTGCCTTGCTGGATCAGGCAAAGGCCTGTGCTGCCAAGCAGAAGCTGCCCCCTGTGGGCCATGCTGGGCTTGCTTCACTGGGCTGGTTAGTTCTAGATGCCCACCGCCTGTTCTGTCCAGGGAAGTCTCTCCAGGAGAGATGAGCTGGCCACTTGCTGGCTTGTTTGGACCTGTTTTCACCTTTGCATGCTGGGACGGGGGGGCAGGTAGCCACTCCTCCTTGGGCCCCTTCCTTTTGCCAGCTTCACAGTCTTGGAGTGAGAAAATGCTTTTGAACAGTGAAAGGGGGAGAATCTTACACATACCCATGTGCCTTTATCAGCCATGCAATTGCCTGCTCCCTCCCTCCCTCGGCACCTGGCCCTTTATCTAAGTCTGCATGCCTTTCCTTTCCAAAAATGCCCCTTTAGTGCTGTCCAGGGCAGAGACTCAAATCAGTTTCCACTGGCACTCTCCCATGTCACAACAGGAAGAGCAGTTTTCCTATGCTCCTGCCTCTGGTTCAGCCACTTGCACCCTGGGCAGGACTATGGCCTGAGGTCCTCAGTCCCCACCAGCAGCAGCCTGGTCTTCCCTGGGACAGTATCTAGTTTCAGAGGGAGGTGGGCTAGGACTCTCCCCAAGGGCTGCTTGCAAAACCCTCCCCACTGCCTTCTCCACGAGGGGAAAACTGTCATACTTCCAAGGAGCTCAACTGGGCCCTGGGACTTATAATTTCTGCAGTGTTGGGAAAAGAGCTTCCTGGATCAGGCCAGAGGGGGCCCATCTGGTCCAGCATTCTCACCATGGCTAACCATGTTCCTCTATTGGAAGTCCGCAAGCAGGACTCGAGTGCAAATAGCAACTGCCTCCACCCAGGGGTGCCAGCCATGCTCCCGGGTGCCTCTGCAATTGCCTCCCACTGTGAGGAGGCTACTTTGATGTTGGGAAGGGGAAACGTGGACAGCTTAAGGTTTGTGCCCCACAGGTGGCTCTGCTGAGACAGGAAGCATGGCAAGATTGTAGAGAGATGTGCAAATCAAGGTGTGCTGAGTTATAGAGACACGCATCACATTCTGCCTGTCTGCTGGGAACCCCCAGCAAGAGGAACGAGGGCTTTGCTTCTTCCCAAAAGGGGCTCGGTTAGCCTGCCCAACCTGAAGGTGAGTGCTGGCCTAAGGTATGTGGCCTAGGCACTGATGAGCTCATGGGTCGACCTGACCCAAGGCTGTGAGTTGAATTCTCTAACCCCTGACATGCCACCTGGTGGACTCAGCCATCCCCTCCCAACCACAACACGGCCTCGGCTCAAAGCCTCCAGGGGAAGGCTCTCTAGAACAGAGCCAGCCTCCCATCACCTTGCTCAAGGAGCTACAGGCAAGCGCTTGGGATATGGGCACGCAGGTGGTCAGCAACAGCAACTCTGCACAAAGGAATAGCCAGGGAAGGCGGAGCCTAAGTGGCAACTGTGGGGCTGTTGCGGAGACCACAGTGGTTTGGTTCACTAGTTCCAAGAGCAAAGATCCCCAGGCCCATGTTATTATTAATTTTATTTAGAGCATTTGGAAAGAAGGGCTCAGGGCAGCCTAGGTACAATCAAGACAAGACAGTCCCTACCCGCAGGCCGACAATCTAAAGAAAACTCAAAACATGACACACAAGGGGGAAAAGAGACAGGCAGGGAAGAGGAAAACCAAATTCCAAATTCAGGCACCAATTTCTGAACAGTTTCTATATTGGCCAGCTGGCTCAGTTCAGGGGCAGGAGGTGCCTGATGGAGCTAGCCCTCTAGCAAAGCTGATGAAATGAGCCTTCTGCTTCCCATCTCTGCCACTGATGCAATGGCTGTCCCCAGGATGACATGGAAGGGAAAAGAGACCTGATGGGACTGGCCTGTCCCAGCATAACTGATAATGGAGTGAGCTCTGCTTCCCAGCTCTCCCACTGCTGCAATGGCTGCCCATGGATAAACTAGCAGCTAGCCTTGCCTTTCCCATAGACACAGCCTCCCCATCACACACATGTCCCACAGCAGCAGTACAGGCCTCTCTGCTGTCCCAGCACAAGTCGGGGTGGCAGGGGTGGAGGGCATTTCCTAAACAGTGGACTCTATTCCCTGTCCCTACATCCCTGGTCCTCTTCTAGGCAGCTTCCTCATCCAGCCAGTGCCAGAAGCAGCTGTTTCAGGTCAACGGGAGAAGGGATAGATGGGTGAGGAGGGGGGTCCCCAGCTGCAGTGAGTTCTTCCTCGGCTGAGGGGACGTTCTGATCCATTGTGGGGCTGCCTCTCCACTGCCATCTTTCTCGCCACCGCCACCCAGAGACGGAGAGCTGATCTACACCTCAAAAGCAAAGTGAAGGTGGCAGAATTCTGGACTGAGAGGCAGTGACCAGCCCAAGGTGAGCTTCATAGCCAAGTAGTAGCCTGACACACTAGCTACTGTACTACACTGGCTTTCTACAAAGTGCAACTGCAATCTCTGCTTAAAAACCTCCAGGGAAGGCACTATAGTCCTCCCAGGCTGAGGTACAAGTACTCAGGGGACACCCATCCCCTCTCTCTCTCTGCCCCTTACAAACCTCTCCTGTGCCCTCAGGTCTCTGCTAGGCGCTCCAGGCACTGACCACTGCTTGCTACTGTGTGCCTGTCTCCTAGAGCGCATCTCTCCTGAGCCCCTGCATCTACGTTCGGAACATTTAGGTTAAAATCTTGCATTTGAGGGTATTTCAGTAATGCGAATACAACACAACAGAATGTAATTATTATAAAAATTTCCTTTATAGCCAAAATATAAAATAAAGAATAAGAAATTAGGGTAGGGGAGCAACAACCTTCAAATATGCTTTGTTGCACCACAAATGAGAAGAGAATGAGGAACTGGGGGTGGGGGCTCCTCTTACACCCTCCTCCCTCACATCTGAACTCAGTGGCAGCAGGACTTGTGCCAGTTAAACCTCACAGGATCCCCCAGGAGGGCACTGGATGGGTCGGGAGTCAGGATTCACTGATGGGTTCTGATCCAAGGTGGTTTGAGAGAAGAGCACTCAATCATGCAAATATATGATAAAAGAGTAAGAAATGGGTCCCCAAATGCCTGCTTGGGTTTGCACTGTAGGGGGTTGGACCAGATGACCTATTTAGGGACCCTATATGACCCCTACAGGCATAGCTGTCAACGTTTCCCTTTTTAAAGGGAATTTCCCTTATTCCGAATAGGATTCCTCGCAAGAAAAAGGAAAAGTTGACAGCTATGCCTATAGGTCTATTAATAGGTCTATTCTATTAAAAAGTGGGTCATGGGTCTTGTAAGGTTGGAGATTCCTGATCCAGGGTATGGGGTGAATGGGAGGAGGCAGCTGTATTTCCTCGCCTGGGATCAGGGCGAGCTCGAGTAAGGAATTCCGGCGAAGCCTCCTGAGCTCGCCCCGCGGCTGACGCTTCTCCTGCGTTCCATCCCAACGGGAGGCGTCGCTTCTCCTTCTATCCGTGCACGCGCTCTCCTCTGCACGTTCCTAGTTCTCCGGCTCTCCGCCGAGCGGAAGTGGGCCAGATGGGGACCGGAAGTCGACGGCGCGGAAGTGCCTGGCTCCCGAAAGCATGTCGGCGGCGTTCAAGAAGGCGGGCAAGTCCCGCCAGCGGGAGCACCGCGAGCGGAGCCAGGTGGGTGGACCAGGCAGAGGCGCCGCGGGGAGCGGGACGGGCGGACGGTCTCCGGTGGCGGCTTCTCCCTCCCTCCCCTCCCCGCCCGCCTCGGGTGTCGCTTCCAGGTTTGGGCTCTGCCTGCAGCAGAGGGGCCAGTGACCCCCGCAGGGGCCTCGCCTGGCTTAGAGGCCGCTGCCCTGCGCCCTGGCTGGGTGGGGAAGAGGTTAGAGGTCGTGGCCA